AATGGTGATTCCACTTTCTTTTGGTGGGATCCATGGACCCCTTATGGATCGCTTTATCAATTCTTTGGTGCAGATGGACCTTCTCGTTTAAGGATCTCTCTGTTATCTATTGTGGCAGAAGTATGGAATGTCGATGGTTGGTCTCTTCCCAACGCTAGAACTGAGAGACAAGTCCTTTTATACGCTTTCATTTCCACTGTTACTTTCTCCTCCTCCAGTGACAAGGCCATGTGGACGGTAAATGGACTACCATTTCGATCTTTTTCTTCAAAAGATGTGTGGAATTCAATTAGAGTTTCAAGATATTTGTGTTATTGGGCACCTCTTGTCTGGCATAAAGCGGTTATACCAAAACATGCAACTACTACAAGGATTTTTATTCTAAATCGCAATCCATCTTTGGATCGTATGGCTTCTTGGGGCTATGATATTGAAAAAGATTGCCTTCTTTGTGGTGTAGCTCAGGAAACTCGGAATCATCTGTTTTTTGAATGTTCTTTCTCGGCTCAGGTATGGAGTTTAATAACACAAAAGCTGGGAATTTTATCTCCTCCTACTATTTGGGATCAGGTACTCCTATGGCTTCCAAATACTCTACCAACTAAGTATAGCAAATTGGCGGTTCTACACGGGTGGCAGGGTGTAATTTATGAATTATGGCGTGAAAGGAATCGACGTTATCATGATGGTCTCACCTTACTTCCATCTACAGTTGCAAAGCTTGTCATTTCCACCATAGAAAACAAATGTACTGCTTTGCACCAGCTTGGATCAAAAAGTGTTTTACCTATTCTTCAATGCTGGATGCGCACACGGTAAATGAGGGTACTGAAAATTGAGCTGAATTCTCTACTTATACATCATTATCAGGATATTGGTTTTAATACCTTCTTTTGTTACGTACCTTTTATTGGTTTATTTCCCAAATCTAGTTCTAGTTTTGGTTCTTGCTTCTTATTTGTTTCTTTGTAAACTTTTTATGTTTAAGTTATATAAGAAAACCCTTTCACAAAAAAAAAGTATAAGTTTTTTTTTTCTGATATCCCCTATATATTAATAAAAAAACACTCTAAAAAATAAACCTTACCATAATGTATTATTAACAAGATTGTTACGCTGATGTGTCGCTCTCACAATGATTTGGCTCCTATTTAAATAATTACCCAACTTCTATTAGATTATTTACAGAATTTGCCATTAGTCTCATACATTACATATAGCACACAAATTAAAAAAAAAAATTCTAATAGAAAAAGCAAATAAGTAAGCAATTAATCTTTACATAATTATTATGTTTAAGTTATATAAGAAAACCCTTTCACAAAAAAAAAAGTATAAGTTTTTTTTTCTGATATCCCCTATATATTAATGAGAAATTGTTAAAAATGCCCCTTTTTCAATACCCCTTTTCAAAAATGCCCCTTTTAAGAGTCCATTTTTAAGTTTGCCCTCTTTTAATTTTTAATGACCATTTTACCCTTATTTGAAACAAAATTAGGTCCACAAAATACAAAATATTTTTTGGCGGGAAAAGTGATCCCGCAATTTTCCCGCCAAAACACTTGTAAAAACCTTTAAAAAACCTTGTAAAATTTTCCCGTAAAAATTTTTCCCGCCAAAAAAATTTTTTGCGGGAAAAGTGATTCCGCAATTTTTTTTTGCGAAATTTTTTTGGCGGGAAAATTTTTGGCGGGAAAAATTTACAAGGTATTTTAAAGGTTTTACAGAGTATTTACAAGTGTTTTGTAAGGTTTTACAATGTATTTTAAAAGGTTTTACAAGGTACTTATAAGGTTTTATAAGGTATTTATAACTTGTAAAACCTTATAAAAAACTTGTAAAACCTTATAACTTGTAAAAACCTTATAAAATAGCTTGTAAAATCTTATAATATCTTATAAATAACTTGTAAATGCGTTGTAAAACCTTTTAAAATACATTGTAAAACCTTATAAATACCTTGTAAAAAACCTTTAAAATACCTTGTAAATTTTTGGCGGGAAAAATTTTCCCGCCAAAAATTTAACGCCAAAAAAATTGCGGAATCACTTTTCCCACAAAAAAAATTTTTTGGCGGGAAAATTTTTTGGCGGGAAAAAGTTTTACGGGAAAATTTTACAAGGTATTTTAAAGGTTTTACAAGTTTTTACAAGAGTTTTGGCGGGAAAAATTGCGGGATCACTTTTCCCGCCAAAAAATATTTTGTATTTTGTGGACCTAATTTTGTTATATTTCCTTATATATTTGTGATATCTTTTATTAAAAGAAGGGTAATTTAGTCATTTTGTACATAAAAAGGGGTATTTTTAAAAATGGACAGCCAAAGGGGGCATTTTTAAAAAGGGGTATTAAAAAAGGGGCATTTTTGTGAGTCTCCCTATATTAATAGATAAACACTCTAAAAAGTAAACCTTACCATGATGTATTATTAACAAGATTGTCACGGTGATGTGTCTCTCTCACAATGATTTGGCTCTTATTTAAATAATTACCCAACTTCTATTAGATTATTTACAGAATTTGTCATTAGTCTCATACATTACATATATCACACAAAGTAAAAAAAACAAAATTCTAATAGAAAAAGCAAATAAGTAAGCAATTAATCTTTACATAATTATTATTTCAAATAAACTAATTTATTTTTGTTTGTTTTCCAAATTAATTAAAACACTATTTAACATTTTTTTGTATTTAATATTGGTCATAAGTGATTATTAGTGTATTAAGAAAATAATAGTACAACTTCATATAAATATTCAAATAAACTACTGTTATTTTCGTTTTCAAATTAACTAAAACACTATATAGTATAGTATATTTTTGTATTTGAAGATATTTATATATATATATATGTATAAGGGTACTATGTTGTAACTTGTAAGTAATTTGTTTTAAGTAAAACTCATTATTATTAAAATAATCATTTATGTGTTTTAAAAAAAAACATTAGGTTTAATTTAAACTAGAATACTTCTTGGATTTGTTTACACTAGCACTAAGGTTCGAATTCAGTGCTTAATCTGATTTATTAATTTTAAATAAATAAATCCTAACAGAAGATCTGTGTTTTCAATGCTATTATGGTTTTAATCTTAGATCTATTCCGTATATCCACGTTAAAAAATAGTTGTTGAGATTATTGTAATATTATTAACACCGAACGAGCCATAAGCACATCATATAATATAAGTATATAATTCATTTATATGTATTGTTCTTCCAATTAATTTGTTTTCAAAACGAAATTAACAATCAATAAATATATTCATTTTGGTTTTAAAATTAATCTGTTTTCAAAACAAAATCCTAAATAAATGCAATCTTAAATAAATGCAACCACAACATTAAATCTGTAAAAAATCAAAAAAAAAAAAAAAAAAATTCCAAAACCATATTTTCCTATAAATAGAGTGCCAATATCATCTTCATCCACAATAATTCAAAAAATCACAATCACATATACTTTGTTTCTGAATCAAAACACAATCAAATTCACAAACAATACATAAACATCGTAATTCTAATTTTAAGTGAATTATTTATCCTATGAATAATAAGTTATAATATCAAAATAATCATTATTTTATAGACGATTCATATTTCCATATAAAATCTAAAGTCATTACACATTTTGGCCATTACAATAGATTATATAGTTAACCCCAATGTTAAATTTATTTACTAATTATTTTTCCCCGCACAAAGTGCGGGTTACTTATCTAGTCTTATATAGTATAAGTTAAACTGTTAAAGCATCTTTAGCCAAAATATCTTTCAGTTTCTCTCCTTTGTTTTTTTTTTCTCTCTCTCTCTCTCCCTAAGTTATTGGTGACCACATCTTAAAGCTTACGTAAAATGTTATTGTTATTTTTTTTTTGTCACGGAAAAGGAAGAGTTACTTACTTGAAGTTTGAATTATACTTTATACGGAAATTATAACATTATATTCTATTTATGGAAGAGTTTATGTTGCAACTTGTGGATTAATAATCCTTGCATGAACCGTTTGATTACTTCATTCAGTTAAATTCTGTTTACAATGTTTTTCGTATACATGTGAATTATATATAGAGAATATTTGGGAAATAGACACTTTTTGGCAAATATTTGAGAAATAAACGGAATATATAACAAATAGGAAACAAGACAAAACATGTAAATGAGACATCTATCTAATATATGTACATGAAAGTTTTTTGTACCTTTAGGGTTTCATGCTTCAAGTACGATTTCGTTAATTGTTGACTCGATTATGCGAGAGGAAGTGTTGGACCTTCGCGTCCACGTCTAGTTCGTTTGTAAATCTTTTCTTTTAAATATTAATAAGAGTTTTTTAATTTATCTTTTGGATCGAGGCCGAGAGTCGAGGCAAAAGAGATTTGACCGGGAGTTAGTAAAATTGAAGGGCCGAGAGAAAGAGAGTCAAAGATTGTGTGGGAGTAATGATGTAAAAGAGGCGAACAACGTCTTTAATCCATATGTAAAAGGGACTAAAGAAGCCTCCAACACTAAAGCCAAAGTCGACTTGGATGCCTCCTGCTTTTTCATTCCCCCAATTTTCTATTATATATGTAAATTCGATTTCTAATTATAACAATATAAAATAATATAACAAACTGTCAAACCAAAAAAAAAGAAAAGAAAAAAAGACGAGTGTTTAGGTGTCGCCAGGTAGATTTGGTTTTGAGAAGAAGAGATGGGTCCCTAAACTGTTGAATCATTAAAAGCCTTCATTTTTGGGTTAAAGTATCTTATAACTATATTTCAAAAATCCATCAATCATGACCCACGTTAAGGTCTCACCGGAATTATATATATATATAAGCGTATACATACATATGTGAGAATTTGTGAAATGGGGCCTTCTTGCTAAGCTTTTTCCGTCTCTCCTACTAGGGTTTTCACACTTGCAGAATCTTCAAAAGCCAGAGTTCAGTTTTTGTTAAAAATATATATATATATATATATATATATATATATATATTGGTTCAAAAATATGTGTGATGAGTACATGACAAACACTGACCAAAAAGCAACCCAAAGTAAGACAAAATATTAATCTCAGAAGATGCCAATCCCATGGCATAGTACTTTTACACATTCCCATATCATATCTCCTACAGTGTCTCCTCTTTTTAATTATATATAGTTTCATTCATATGTCGTACCAACACCCTACTCACTATAATCTCTCGTTTTCTACCACATACACTTTTGAATGGCGCCCATGAGTTTGCCTCCAGGATTCAGGTTTCATCCCACTGATGAAGAGCTGGTGGCTTACTATCTGGATCGGAAGGTCAACGGCCGAGCCATTGAGCTCGAGATCATCCCAGAAGTTGATCTCTATAAATGCGAGCCATGGGACTTGCCTGGTACGTTCCAACTCTTTTTCTCTCTCTCTCTCGCTCCAAATATATATGGTTCAGATTGTTAATGACAATCTGACGTTATAGATTACATATATTGGACATGATGCATTCATACATACTAATATACAACTTATCTCTTATTTTATTGGATAATACGCGGAACAGAAAAGTCATTTTTGCCGGGGAACGACATGGAATGGTACTTTTACAGCACAAGGGATAAGAAGTATCCAAACGGGTCGAGGACAAACCGTGCGACCCGAGCGGGTTACTGGAAGGCCACAGGGAAAGATCGTATAGTAGAATCGAAGAAGATGAAGATGGGAATGAAGAAGACACTGGTTTATTATAGAGGAAGGGCTCCTCATGGCCTTCGTACTAATTGGGTGATGCATGAATATCGTCTCACGCACGCTCCTTCCTCCTCCTTGAAGGTAAATTATTTCCCATTTACGATAGGTTAATCTTATTAAAATATATATACATCTATTCGTTTATTCTAATAATAATAATGTTCTAAATTAAACAGGAGTCGTATGCATTGTGCCGAGTGTTTAAAAAGAACATACAAATTCCAAAGAGAAAAGGGGAAGAAGAAGAAGCAGAAGAAGAGAGCACTTGTGTAGGAAAAGAGGAGGAAGAGGAAAAGGAGAAGAAGTGGAGAAAATGTGATGGTAATTGTATTGAAGACGAGAGCTTGAAAAGAGCATCCGCGGAGACATCTTCATCAGAGCTAACTCAAGGGATCCTTTTAGACGAAGCAAACAGCTCATCCATATTTGCTCTTCATTTCTCATCTTCTCTTCTGGACGATCATGATCATCTTTTCTCAAACTATTCTCATCAGCTTCCATATCATCCTCCTCTTCAACTCCAAGATTTCCCTCAACTTTCTATGAACGAAGCCGAGATTATGTCAATCCAACAAGACTTTCAATGCAGAGACTCTATGAACGGGACACTTGACGAAATCTTTTCTTCTTCCGCCACTTTCCCCGCTTCCCTTTGATAAATCCATATCTCATACTATCATCCAGTACTTCTTTTCTCAACTTATTTAATTATATTCGGGCTACTTCATATAGTTTTTTCTTTTTTTTTTTCTTTTTTTTTTTCTTTTTTTTTAGCTTATGAATTGGTTTGACTGATGACAAAGGGTGGAGATTTGTGGAGTTATTTTTTCTACCACAAAAAAAAAAAAATTGCATTATTGTATCTTAATTTTTATCTTAAGGGTATGCATGGTATAGGAGGGGAAGCGGTAGGAACACTTATGTAATCGACATCACTTATTGGTTTGCATATCTGTAGACTGTAGTCCAGTGTTTAAAACTTTAAATCTGGCATGGCAAGCGAATTTGGAAAACTTTTCGGATTATATATGTACACTATATGGGTTTATGACTTATGAATATGAAACAAAAGTTTTAAATCTCTATGAACAAAGAAAAAAATTCTGAAAACAAAGAAGAGAGAACAATCGAGACAAATTCACTACAAACAGAAACAGGGCAAAATCTTTATAAAAAAGAGATGAGAATTACAAGACAAAGTTTAAAAACATCTGAGTTTATGATACCATTTTGCGATTGATTTGAAAGATACAAACAACATTGTCATGAAGAAATTGACAAAGGTTCTAAAAACAATAAAAATATTTTAATATTTAGTTTTACTTTAATTTAGCCTAGTGACAGTAGTACTCTAGTAGTTTGCGATTGATTTGGAATATACAAGCAACATTATCATATAAAAATTGATAAAGGTTTGATATTTTAATTGAATTTAACCAAGTGATGATAATGGTTTAGTAGCTTTCATTTGAGGAGGAGTCGTCATAATTTTGATTCATCTCAAACAAAAAATTATTTAATCATCGCATTATACTAAAACAATCTTATTATAAATGAATATTGAAAATGGTTTCAAATCCAAACATATAATAAGATTGATAATTTTTTCAATTGAAATTCAACATAATATATGCATAAAATTGCAGTTGTATTCACCAATTAACACAGGTCATAATCTTGTAAAGTGTAAACTATCCCAAATCAAGAAATTTGTCAAAACTTCAAAAATTTTAAGATGCTAAGGGCGATAGTGGGCTTCAACTCAACAAAATAGATTAAAGCCCATTATAAAGCCCTACAAAATGGGCCTTTCATTTGACGTCAATATTGGAATAATAATATACAATATGGGTCTTTCTGTCCTCTCCTCCTTCGTCTTCTTCCTCTTCATTTTACTTCCTCTTCCCGATTTCTCGCTCTCCGATTCACCCTTTTCCTCCGATCTCGCTCTTCCTAGATTCCGGAATAATCCCCACAAGGCTTGGCTTTAGTAATCGTCGTCCATGAGTTCCAATACGGCGTCGTCCAGCGCGGGGGCAGCCGGATCGGGAGATTCTTCCGCCGCCAGGAAGAATTCGAAGCGACCCAAGTGTACTTTTTCCTCCTCCCTTCTCGATCTTCTTCCAGTTATTCATTCTGCCTTATCGTTGACTCTTGTGTCTTATTCGAATTGGATCAATTTCTCGCTCGTTTTAATCGTATACGTTGGTCGTTTATTGTGATCGCTGTTTAATTTTAAATAACGATCCTTGAAAGAGACATTCTTCAATCGCAATTTGTTATCAAGCAACCATCGTCAAAGCTATGGCTAAAAGGCGTGATTTTGTTGGCAAATATCTTTTGCAGATTCGAAGTTCACACAGCAGGAGCTTCCAGCTTGCAAGCCAATTCTCACCCCTGGTTGGGTTAGATTTCTTTGTAATCTCTATTGATGTTCTGATTTCTGTAGAAGCGGCAACTAAAGCTCCTTTTTTTACAGGTCATTTCGACATTTTTGATTGTCAGTGTTATCTTTATTCCCCTTGGAGTTATCTCCCTCTTCGCTTCCCAGGATGTAAGTGTGACTAACGCATTGCTGCTAGTGGTACTCATCAGATTCTCTTCCATATCTCACTTGTTTCATTCCCGATGTTTAGGTTGTGGAGATCGTTGATCGGTATGATACTGAATGCATTCCGGAACCTGCTAGGACTAACAAGATTGCATATATTCAAGGAGATGGAGATAAAGTTTGTACCCGGGATCTTAAAGTGAGTTCCTTATGCCGCCATGTTTATTTTGTTCTTTGAGATTTGATAGATTTTTGCATTTGTTGTTTACTTTCTCTTTGCTCCACTGGCATTCTTAGGTGACAAAGCGTATGAAGCAGCCTGTCTATGTTTATTACCAGCTTGAGAACTTCTACCAGAATCACCGAAGGTATATAACACCTGTTAGCAACTATGCCGTAGCATGATATAATTTTCGCATTGGTATGGGACTAAGTGTTAGACCTATAATGGAAGATGTGGGTTCTCATGTGTATATAATCTAACTTAGATTAGTCAAGATTTTTGTAGCTCTAATGCATCGATGGTGTCGTTGAAACAGGTATGTAAAAAGCCGAAGTGATTCACAGTTGAGAAGTCCAAAATCCGAGAATCAAATAAGCGCATGCAAGCCTGAGGATGATGTTGGTGGGCAGCCGATTGTGCCGTGTGGTCTAATTGCTTGGAGTCTTTTTAATGACACATACGCCTTATCAAGAAACAATGTAAGCCTAGCTGTAAACAAAAAAGGCATTGCATGGAAGAGCGACAAGGAACACAAGTTTGGGAACAAGGTCTTCCCCAAGAATTTTCAAAAGGGGAATATCACAGGTGGTGCTACTTTAGATCCAAGAATACCGGTAAACCATTAAATACTGGAGATCAATTCATTTTGCCATTGATTTCACATGATGCTGCTTAGCAAATTGACCTCTGACATCTTTCTTCCTCTTTTCATGTGTGCAGCTTAGTGAACAAGAAGATCTCATTGTGTGGATGAGAACCGCAGCATTGCCAACATTTAGAAAACTTTACGGAAAGATAGAGTCTGACCTCGAGATGGGTGACATCATACACGTTACGCTGAAGAACAACTACAACACTTACAGTTTCAATGGGAAGAAGAAGCTTGTTTTGTCAACCACTAGTTGGCTGGGTGGGAAGAACGATTTCCTCGGCATTGCTTACCTGACAGTTGGCGGGATCTGTTTCTTTTTGGCCCTCGCATTTACCATCATGTACCTTGTGAAACCCAGGTACGCGCATCCTTCAAATGTAGTTGTTGTTGTCGTGATGGTATCCTTTTATGCATGGCTTGAATTTCTGCTAAACCCTGGTTGTTGGACCATCTTATATATACCGATAATAATAATAAAGTATTCTTGTGCATACAGCAGTGTGTTATGCTGAGTAACAAATGTGTACTTTGTTTCAGGCGACTTGGAGATCCATCCTACTTGTCATGGAATAGAAATCCCGGAGGTCGGTAACAAGCTTGGAGAGGGAGCTCTAATCTGCGTGTGTAAATCTTATCCATTCATGTATACATACGATGTAATCCTTGCTTGCAAAATGGTTTCTTCGGTGAGAGCTTAAACTCCACATAATACTTTGTTGTTGTTGTTGTTCCAAACCAGTTACGTATATTACTTTTGTCCCCAAATCTGCCTTTTATAAGTTTTCTATGTATAACCGAGTTGTTACAAACTACGGGTTAAAAAATTGAACTAACAGAAGCCAAACTTCCGAGTGCTCAAAGCACCCGAAGCAGAAGATTGGAGAGATATTGGCCTTGAGGGTAAGATGGGTCGAGTGGGTGGTCAGACGCAGCTCCTGCCTCCCTCACCACTGTGATCTTCCTTCCCGCCATTGCTGCAGCGCTCTGAAGAATCCCCAAGAACTTCCCACTCTGTGTCATAGCCCCTGAACATGAGCATGTCATCATAAGACCGCCACTCGTTGTCAATCGCATTGCCAACGAGTTGAGATTTCTGTACATTCCTGCTGCGTTGTGCAAAACCTGGCATCCAAATTGATGCAATCTCATTTATGTAACAACAAACTATGACATCCACTATATTTTTAAGGTACGAAAGAAAGGTACTCTAGACCACCTTTTTCCGCGGAGCTAGCTTAGGAGGGTCTAGGATCACGATGTCCCATGTCTCTTCTCTTGACAGAGCACCCTTCATGAATTCTGTTGAATCTTGTTTAAAGAAAACAACCTTCTCTGGATCCATATTGTTGAGGATGACATTCTCTCTGGCGAGCTCCAAAGCAGGTAAAGATGAATCAATTCCTGACAGTCTTTTGATCAGACGATTCACAAGAAAGTGCATAAGGTGGATCAGGAGGAGGAGAGAGATAAAATGTACCGATAACACTGGTAGCACCTCCTCTCGCTGCATTTAGTGCAAATCCACCACTATAGCAGCAAAGATCAAGAACACTTTTACCAGCAGAGATGGTTGATATGAAGTGACGGTTTTCGCGCTGATCTGTGTAGAACCCTGTCTTCTGTCCCTCTAGCGAAATTGCGTAGGAGATCCCATTTTCCACAACCTGCCATGAGAAAGATCACTCAGCTCTCACCCCTCTAGTGTTTGTTGCCATATTCATGAAGATATGTGAAGAAGAGAGAAAGACCTGATTAAGGCACCACCCACCGTACCATTGATCTCTGTGGGAGAGTAGATGATTGTGTTTGTTTCAGACTTGAGATATCAAAACCATCTTCTTTAAGAACATCAAGAGATGGTCTCCAGTTTATATGATTAATTCCGTCAATTGACCTTAAGCAACTCTCTACTTCAATCCTGTACTTTTCAAGCCAAGCAGCAGAGGATGCTACCACAGCTATATCTCCAAACACATCCACAATCAATCCAGACAATCTGAAGCAGAGCAATAAGACAGGACCAGAGATGATGCAAGAAAATGAGGAAGACAAAAAAAAGTAACGAGATCAGGCAGTGAAATACCTATCTCCTTCACTGTTGACAAGACGATAAGCATTAGTATTAGCAGAGGGAAGTGCCAAACTCTTTCGCAACTGAAGTGCTTCAGAGATTCTAGTTTGGAGAAGCTTCTCAATGTTCAATGCACAAGAAGGATCTCTACCACAAGCCAAGAAGATCCATCAATCAAAGATACAAAAGAATCAAACAAGAAGTGTAGAAATGGAAACCTGGAGGATTCGTGTTGAAGCTGCATAAGGCGAACACAGAACATAGAAACAGAGTTATACAAACCCCAACCAATGGGAGTCTCAGTGCCATCAGCGACAATGACAACATCTCCGGTCTGAGGAGGAGGTTTTCCAATGATCCTGTCTACAGCTCCACTGTACACCATTGGACTTCCGTCTTTGAAGAGCTGTGTCTTGCCCTTTTTAAGAACCACTTTAGCAACACCTGAAATTTTCAATTCTCAAGTAAATAGAGAGATGATTACACGCAGAAACTGAAGAGACAGAGAGATATTGACCTTGAGGGCGAGAAGAAGCGATTTGGGAAGAAGAGATAAAGAGAGAGTGACGGAGGCGGCAGGGAAGCTGGAGCACACCGAGCATCACCATCGTCGCGCATTTCTTGGCTACAGCGCTTTGGGTGGATAGCACATAAACCCGCTAATGGGCCATAATATTTTTTATTGGGCTCAATTTTCTCTACTTTAGCCCATACTTTAGGTCCACAAATTCACTTCCAAAAACATCGCAAACCAAGAGTTTTTTTTAGCTCTGTAAATCGATAAAAGGTATGGTGGGATGATAAAAGTAGGAGACAAAGTGTGTTTATGTAGTCTACCCTAAGCTACAAATGATTAGTTTAAGCATAGTTATATTGTGTCTCATGCAAGGAAACTAAAGGATGTTGCCTCCATCGGGAAAACGGTCTATTTTCCCACGAGAACTATGACATCATAACAGATAGAGCCCAAACTTTAAACCCGGTTTATATGTCCATAAAATAAAAGTTTTATCCCTATTTCCCCCCCAAATTGAAAGTTCTATTGCTTAATGTCTCCGAATCAATAGTTTTAGAGCTAAAACCCCACAAAACTGGATTTAATCGGTTTACGAACTAAACCCGATAGAAAACCACACAAATTCAATATAACCAAAATTAAAACCCGACCCATTTCAAAAACCCGACCATTTGTCACCCAATTTCTTCTTCTTCTTCACCAAACCATTTTAATGGCTTCACGATTTGGATGGGGATGATATCATAACAATTTTTCTACCTCACCTTTCTCCGTAATTACTCTCCAGCCTCCGATTAAGAGTTCTCTTCTATTCATTCATGGTGTTTGAATCACCGAAGCTAGCAAACATTCTCTTCTTCTTTAACGTCAATGTGCTCTTCGGGGCCATCGGTTTACTCTAATCTAGCCACTAGGTACGCATCCATGATCTCCAAATTTGTTACCCATTTGTTAAAATTTCTCAATTTGACCTCTTTCTCAGTTTTGCAAGTTGATCTCTTTCCCAATGGGTACAACAATGACGGGAACATTGGAGAAGTAACAACAATGGAACATATTTATTTTAGATTCATTAGGCAAAATGAGAAATCAAGACAAACAATCGAACAAGTTCAAGAACAATTCAAGTAATAACAAACGATCTCATATTAATCAATGGCAAAAATCTCAATCTAATTATCCTTAATTTCACTCAAAGGGATCGGAGAAAAAAAACAAACTCAGAGGAAGAAGATGAAGAATCAATGACAAAATTAAAAGAGGACTCAGAAAAGTTTAAAGCACAAGTATAAGTAAAATTAGACACTGTTGTTGAAGCGAAGAGGAAGACGAAGAAGTTCGTCTCAGATTAGGGATCTGCTTCAGCTCCGATTATTTTGTTTCATCAAGTCATGTGTTGGGATGACGACGACGAACGTCGGTGGTGGTGGCTCCGCCGTGGAATTGCTCCGCTGTGGAATTGGATAGTCATTGGTCTCGATTTTGGGTACTGTGAACCTGTGAGGTTGAAGAACACCAACAATTGATTTTGTTTCATAATGGAGAGAGTAGAAAATGATGGGTCTAAAATCAGAAAGAGATTTTAATCATTGGAGGAAGATTGGTAAAACGAGATGATCTGTTTCATCTCTGATGTAGGATGACGAAGATGATGATCATTCACCGAAAAGGGTTTGAAATCGGGTTTATTAGAGAATCGGTTTATAGTCGGGTTATTAGAGAATCAATTGTAATCGGGTTTGGATTAGGTTTAATCCGGTTTATTATTTTTGTAAATTGGTTTAGTAGACATTAAACCGAACAAAACCAATAGCTATGGATAATTAGATGAGAACTATTATTTTAGGGAGATATAAGATTTAGGGGGTGTTATTAGTTTGTTAATTTGTAAATCCATATAGAATTTGAAAATTTCTATTAATTATGAAATCAAGATATATGGATTTTGAAATAACATGTGTTTACCCATGGATTTGAATCCTTCTATTTTTCTCTTTCAATTCTATTCAATTCCATTTAAAACATAATTTGGATTCTCAAATCCAAAAACAAATGACTAAACGAATAACATAAGATTTTAACTAGTATTTATAAATCATAGAACCAATAACACATGAATTTAATTAGGATTTTAAAATCAATGATTGAATAACAAATGATTTTTGTTTGGATTTCTAATTCCATATAAATCTATGAACCAATAACCCCTCCTTAAACTATCGATTCGGGAATATATAGATCGAGAAGTATCATTTTAGAGACATATAGATCGGGGTTAAAGTTTGGGCTCTATCTGTTATGATGTCATACTTCTCGTGGGGAAATAGACCGTTTTTCCTGCCTCCATCATTTGAATAGTCCCAATGGTATAATCAAGTACTTGAATGAGTAATTATACTAGAGATGTTTATGAAAAAAAAAAACATGATATTTCTTAGAGTAGATTTAATTGATTATTCGGTTTAAATTACCAAAACAGGGAGACAAGCTCAAGCAATATCAAACTGTTGAATTCAAAAAACAAAACTAGAAAAAGAGAAACATAGGTGATGAAAGTTCATAAAAGTAACACATAATGAAAAAGCCCTAAAAAAGATAGAATCATTGTCGCTTCCTCAATGCATCCACGATGAGTTTGGTTGCTTCAGCCACGAACTGAGCCTGTTCCAAATACACTGTGAACTGGGTTTCTCTAACTTTCATCAACTTCACCTCCAACTCTCTTCTCTTCTCTATCTCTACTTCCGTATCCCAGATTTGAGACAAAGTAAGTTCGTCTAATCCACAACGATAGCCTGTATCTGTCTTCATGAGGGAGGCCACTTCTTTACCTAACCGAGGCTTTCTCTTTGTTTCAGAGTTATCTTGGCCTATCTCCTCAAACAGACGCTTCACAGGAACGTTTGGTTTCACATCAGGAACCTCTGTTCTAGGCTCTGGTGGTGAACCGGAACCAACCTTGTTCCGACAAGTTTCCGAGACTGTTTCCTTCGGATTCACTGCAAGAGCCTGAGACCTATCTTTTGGAGACTTTGAAGCTGAAACGGAACCAGCCTTGTTTTGACAACTATCTGAACCGGTTTTCTTCGGAATCATCTCTGGTTTTGAATCCATCTTCAGAGAAACAGGCTGAGACGTAATCTTAGCGCCTTCATCATCACTACTCGACTCTTCTTCTGAACCAGAAGAGTCCTCGTCCGACTCTTTTGAAAGACCCTTGTTCTGAAAACTTTCAGAGCCGGTTTTATCTGTGTTCAACTCTTTTGTGCTAGATTGTACCTCACCCGACTCTTCAGAGCTAGTCGAGTCTTCACTAGTCTCACTTTCAGTGTCAGAGACTATGAGTTTGTCTTCTGGTTTATGCTCACCTCTCATCGCCTTAGAAGAGAACACAGTTCGCTTCATTTCTTGTTCTCGTTCGGCTATTAGGTTTAGCGGGTACTAGTGTTTCTTAAATAGCTTATGCCTCATGAGTCCATATGTAGTATGTACTAGGGTTTCTTAGATATAGGTAGATTTCATTTTCTTAAAATGATGATAAATATCACGAAACAAATCTTTTTACATAATGGAAGATTTGAACGTGAAGATCCTTAGAATACTGTAGATATTAAGTAAAGATATTATGTGAACATAGAAAACTTCATATATTGTTCTCTCTTGCCTATTAGGTTTAATTAACTTTCTTCTGCCTCAAGAAATACTAATTTTTCTTAAAAGATTAATATAATTTTCTTAAAATGATGATAAGTATCGCCAAAATGGAAGATTTATTAGATTTGATGTATTTTCCTTTTTTGTTAAGATTACTTTTTTTTTTTTACTTTGGGTTAAAACTAAGAATAGTTTTCCTGTGTTTTATTTCCCCCAGATTTCAAGAGTTATCATATAAGTAACAACTTTGTTGAAATCAACAGTCTCTTCTCTTGAATACAACACAACGCATATCATATGTAGTCATCCCCCACTCAACGAAACAGATACAAAATGAGACTTGTAGCTGTAATAAGATTAACCAAATGTGATTCTCAACCAAAACTAATCCCATGACTCATATTTTCTATCGCCTTCTGCTCCCTCGGTAATCTTCCTCGCCCTCTTTATCCTTCAATAGACCCAAGAAGGCCAGAAAACCAAAGAAGAAGAACCCACCTGACCAGTTGCCTCCACCCCCTCCTCCACCACCTCCATCTCCATCATCTCGTGGTGGGAACCCGTCTCCTCCATCGTCTAGGCTTGGTGATTTCTCCTTAGCTGAAAACCAACACACCAGGATTCCTCTTAGACCACCTCTAAACTAGTTCAGTCAAGATAAAACACCTAAGAAGTTCTCTAGGAGTATGCAATTGACTAACACCTATCCTGACTTGTAGCTAAACCCTTTTCGTAAATTGTGGGAAATCTCAATTCATAGTTTTAGATACACATTTGGAAAGCTCTTCCTATCCCTAAATCTAAATCTAGCAGCCATTCATCAAAAGAAAGCAAAATGAGAGCTTACAGTGGACAGGAGCCTGAGTTATTGTCGGTGACTCCCGAGTGACGGTCTGTGTTTGTCCTTCGCTGCATTTCGCGTTCTGCAAGAGAGTTAACAAAGGAGAACAAAATGATCAAATCCATGATAAACATTCCTCACAACCTCTCATGTTTTACTCTTCAAACCATTTTGCAATTATAGATTAAATATAATCAATGAAGCAAAGCTCAATCCAGAGAGACATGTGAGTTCAAGATGACTTACAATGGCTGAGTGACATATCAAAAGAGATTGCCTTCTACTTCCAAGGCCTGAGCTCAATCCCAATGGAGAGACTCTATTTTGCAATTTGATTCCGCCGAGCGATCCTGAACTATGAATCCGCAGCTTTTCTATATCAAACAAAAGCTAGGTTTACACTCTTGGACCCATAATTGACGAAATCGGTACATATAATCGGTCTCAATCAACACCGAATTTTGATACCTCATAGGTTAAATCCCTAGGGATAAAAACGTAACCCAGAGCCAGATGATAAGAGACATGAAGGCGAGGTATTAGAGTGAGAAAGAAAGCGTACCGTTGTTACTATTGAAGGAGAGCGGAGAAGATTGGATAATAGACGCCGCCATAGCCATGGCTAAAGCGAGCTTCACGGGAGAGGAAGGAGAAGGAGGAGGAACTAGATAGAGATTATCATTTCAACTACGCGTATAGTTTTTTTGTCAACTTGCAGCCAATAACGAAACGCCACGTGGGAATATTTCCATCATTTTTCGTTTCGAGTACTCGTACTTTCTTTAGAGTTTATTTTGAGGAACAAACTATTCCAAGGTTAAAAGGACCAAAATAACGAAAGTCATTGGATTTTAATTTTATTTGAGACAAAAAGAGTCTCTCCTCTCTCTATGGATTGGTGGTACAACAATAACAGATTTACAACAGAAAAAGAAGAAACTCATTTAGGTCCCTTCAGGTGTAATAATAATAAAGAGAATTTTGTTAAACGGTGACTGGCGTTGCTTCATCAAGCACGACCACACCGGGAAGCACTTTGCCTTCCAAGAGCTCCAAACTGGCTCCACCACCTGTGGAGATGTGACTCATGACTCCTGCTACTCCCACTTTCTCCACTGCTGCCACCGAATCTCCTCCTCCTATTATCGTTGTCACTCCCTTTTTACTTAGCTCTGCTAGTTTATTCGCTACCGCCTGCGCCATTCAACCATGCTACATATTACTTCTAACAGTCAACTAACAGTATATAAGAGTCAGAAAATTATATGCTTCTTCTTACCTCAGTTCCTTGTGCAAACTTTTCAAACTCGAAAACCCCCATTGGTCCATTCCAAATGACTGTCTGTGTGGTATCCAGAGCTTCGTTGAAAGTTTTCACCGAGTCTGGACCGATGTCCAATCCCATCCACCCATCAGGAATGGCTGAAGCTGGCACAATCTACAACAATCACATTACACACAACATAGACGACGTCAAGTCCAGTCTTAAGAAACCAACCATTTTTCGATCTTTTTGTCAACCAAGAATGCCAAGCTTTTAGCAGTAATTATTGAAGACGGACCTTGCTGTTGGCATCAGGAGCAAACTTGTCAGCAATCACAACATCTGTTGGTAACAACAGAGAGACTCCTCTGGCCTTAGCCTTAGCAAGGAGTGATGTAGCCAATTCAAGCTTGTCTTCTTCAACAAGGGAAGAGCCAACAGAAAGACCTTGCGCCTTGTAGAATGTAAAGATCATTCCACCACCAAGCAGAAGAATGTCACATTTCTCAAGAAGAGATTCGATAACTCCAATCTTAGATGAGACCTTTGAACCTCCCACAATGGCAGCAAATGGTCTCTTTGGGTTTGAAACCGCACCCACAAGGTAGTCCAACTCCTGTGAAAAATATAAGGCAAGCTCACCGGCTTAGATAAATTTCAATTACCAACTTTTGGTAGAAGAAAACGTGGATTTGATTTCGGAAAACCTAACTATTAAATTCATAACTCAATTCAAGCCAACGGACTCCTCCAAACAGCAGTTGAGAAAACTATTGACCATTGAGTTCAGACCTCTCTCATGGAAAGACAATGATGAACAAGCAATCAATTATTTCATGATCAAGGGTCTGGTGGCATTGGTAGCAGTGGTGCTTCTAAATTCTCAATTATCAATTTAAAGAAAGAATCTTGTATCAAAATGTCACCTTTTGCAAAAGGAAACCAGCAACTGATGGCTTCAAGAACTTAGTGACTCCCTCTGTTGAAGCATGGGCTCTGTGAGCAGTCCCGAAAGCATCATTGACATAAAGGTCAGCTAGAGAAGCAAGCTTCTTAGCAAACTCAGGTTCGTTCTTCTCTTCCTCCTTGTAAAACCTCACGTTCTCAAGAAGCAAAACTCCTCCTTCAGGAAGGGAAGCCACCAAGCTTTCCACTTGTGGACCAATACAATCATCAGCTTTCACGACCTGCAGATTTACACATCAAAAGCCTCAAGATATTGCCACAACAAGATGATAGATTCAGATCCATTGAAAATCATGGTGGTACCTCAATACCAAGGAGCTCTGACAATCTGGGAACAAGAGGAGCCAAGCTGAACTTTGGAGTGACACCCTTTGGCCTTCCCTGAAAGATGCAAATCGAAATGTAAAGACTTTATGGATTTGAGTTGATTAAGAGAGATGGGTAAAGTGTGGGACATACCAAATGAGTGGAGAGGATGACCTTAGCACCATTCTCAATCAAAAACTTAATGGTGGGAATGGCGGCTCTGATTCTAGTGTCGTCAGTGATATTTTGATTGTCATCGAGAGGTACATTGAGATCAGCTCTAACAAACACCTTCTTCCCCTTCAAATCAGCAGAAGTCAGATCTCCAACACTCTTCTTCGCCATCGTAATCACTCCCCTGGTGCCCTTTCCGCGCACGGACTGGACCTTGGAGGCCACGTGGACGGAGAAACGCGAGTCAACGAAGGCGGAGAAGCCGAGGCGACGTGCGGAGACAGCGGTGGATGGAATGGGTAAGAAGGAGGCGCGGGAGGAGCGGGTAACGGCGGCGCCACCGGTGGATTTGATGATCGAAAGAGCTGCAGTTGCTGCGGTGGAAGCCATGTGAAGTCGACGGGTAGAGAGAGGGAGAGAGATAGTGAAAGTGAAAGTGAAAGTGAGAGAATAAGGAAGAAGAGTGAGAGGATTGGATGATATTACAAGTTTCTGGATTTTGTCTTATCGTTGATGAGAGGTTATCATAATTCTTTCACCTTCCTCTGCATACAATCTGGGCCACATTCACAAAGATCATGTCTTTTGATCAAAACAAAAGTTTACTTCCATATATGGTAAAGAGAAGTAAGTATTGACTCTAATAATAAATATGATTAAATTAAATGACTCATTTGCAATATTTAGATAGCTAAATGGGCTTTAGGCCCAATCAATTTCTGGCCTTCCGAATAAATACGTTTTGGATATTTTTATTTTGGACATTCCGGCGAGAACCACCTCTAATGGCTTTATCTCCGTCGTCTCCTCCATGTCTCAGATCTCTTTCGCCTTTTTCTCGCCGAATTGGTGGCTTCCTTGTTCCACGCGTACAGTCTCTAGCCTTTGGTAGCGTACGGAGGCATGAGCTGCGGAGGCCGAGCGCGCTCAGGGAATGGCGGGAGTACGAAGATGCTGTGAGGAGAAAAGATCTCGCTGGGGCTCTGAGATTCCTAAAATCTATCGAAAATGATGAAGAGCGTGATGCGGTTGAATCCATTGTCGCGGCTCCGAGAACGGCTAAGTTAAGCGGTTTGGGAGGTCTTGAATTGGAGAGGGATTGGCAAGTTTTAGATGCGTGTTTGAATGCAGATGATATGAGACTTGTTGGAAGTGCATTTAGGTTTCTTAAGGAGAGAGGTCTATTGGCAAACTTCGGCAAATTCAGCAGTATTGGTACTCTGTTTTCTCTGTTTAGATAGATGTACATAAGTAATGTTTAGCTATGTGTGCAAGCATAAGTTTGATCAATGAGTTCTGCTTATCTCTTTCTGTATCACTGTGCTGCAGTTTTGGAGGGAACAAGAGAGGTAACACCTACTGTTCTGAAGTCTGCAACTGGCTTGGAAGGTCGGTAGATCAAATTTCTCTCTTCAATTGATTACTCAGTGTGTGGCGTTGGAAACTTATTGAAGTTTCTTTATTGATTAGTGACTAAACTTTCACCAAAGAAGTGGGGACTTTCTGGTGGCTCTAGCATTGCTCTGGCTGCTTTTCTGGGTGGAGTCTCCTATCTTCTTTCTCAGGAGATTGATGTGCGGCCAAACCTTGCTGTCATTTTGGGTCTAGCTTATATGGATTCTGTTTTTCTTGGCGGTACCTGTTTAGCCCAAGTATCATGCTACTGGCCTCCACATAAGCGTAGAATCGTAGTTCACGAAGCGGGTCATCTTCTTGTTGGTAAGAAATTTGTGATCATCACGTAATTGGTATTTTTATGAAATTTCTTGGTCGTTTTGTGGCTAACAATTGCAGTTTCTTTGTCGTGCAGCATACCTCATGGGCTGCCCAATCCGTGGTGTGATATTGGATCCGATTGTTGCCATGCAAATGGGGGTTCAAGGCCAGGTATTATTCAGATGCATTGTAGTATTATACTATTCTATCTTGTCGTGCTGTGATTCTATGCTCCTTTTAGCTACATATAAAACCGAGTACTGAACTGGATTGTCATGTGTTTCCTGTAGGCTGGAACCCAATTCTGGGATCAAAAGATGGAGAGTGAGATTGCTGAGGGACGACTTAGCGGTAGCTCATTTGATAGGTGACTATTAATTAGTCAAGGTCTTCTTCTTTTGCTGTGAATTTTGTCTCATTCACAACCCTAATGGTGGTTCAGTTTCTCTTAGGTATAGCATGGTACTATTTGCTGGTATTGCAGCTGAAGCGCTAATTTATGGTGAGGCTGAGGGTGGGGAGAATGATGAAAATCTGTTCAGGAGCATCTCAGTCCTTCTGGAACCACCGTTATCCGTGGCTCAGGTCAGGACTAATGAAAATTATATATCTGATGTTACTAGTCTATGTGCTTCCACTTTTCTTGCACAAGTTTACTGATTGTTAAGCATTGCGAATCTGTGCATTTGATCATACAGATGTCGAATCAAGCCAGGTGGTCTGTTCTACAATCTTACAATCTACTCAAGTGGCACAAGGCGGCACATAGGGCCGCTGTTGAAGCTCTCCAAGTGGGAAGTCCTCTTAGCATTGTGATTAGAAGGATTGAGGAAGCTATGTCTTCAAGCAGATGACTGAAGTATCAGCGTTTTCTGTAATTTATTACTAATACGGGCAACCCATAAAAACCTCATTTGGAATGTATGGAGATGGAAGCAGATACGCTCTCGATATATAAACCACTTGACTGCAACTGGAATGGCGAGAAGGGACTTGTATCTTTGGATCCATGTTCAAGTAAGGTAAGGTTTTTATCCACTAAGGGAGATGTTGAGGAGATAGTAGCTCTCTTGCCTTATTCATCATCTGTGTTTCAAGGTGTAAAGGAATAAGAACCAAGCTTATAATAGCTTAAAGAAAATGGTTGTAAAGTAGCAATCACATGAAAGCTGTATAGTTGAATTCCTGCGAAGTAAAGTTTTGGGTATTATAGTAGACTAGTAGTTGCTTTCTAACATTCTTTGTTATTATTTGATACTGATGAGAACAGGAACTACATTGACATAGATATAGACTGTAGATCATCTGGTGACTAACATGTCATTACAGAACACAATAGAAATGTTTCCCAGCAGAGCAGAGCTACCTTACTACGATACAACCAAACAAACGAAAGGAGAAAAGTTTCAAGACTCATCATGGTGTTGCTCCTGGGGCCAGTGTTGCATCATCCCCTGTTGCTGCATGTAATAGTATGACGGAGAACCCACCACGGATGGTATGGCCCCTTTCGTCACCCCTAAACCTTCTTCTTTCAGCTCGTCCCTCGGGATTATGTCCACGAGGAAATCAAACACGTCGGTCCTGGAAATGGCAGCGGCTATGTCGTTCTTTTGCAAGGTCCTCCTCTTGTTCTCCTCGGTGTGGATCCAAGCACGTAGAGTGAGCTCCAAAATGAACATCTCACAGGCCTTGGCAAAAATCACAGGAGCCTCCGCAGAGATCATCCTCACATCTTCATCAGCTTTCATGATCTTCTTGATGCGGGCCAGCGGAAGGGTGTGGTTCTTGAAATCAGTGGTATGCTCGATCTCTTGCATTTGGTTAGCCCAGAACATCTGAAGCTGCTGCTGCTGTTGTTGCTGATGGTGGTGGTGGTGGAAGTGGTGAGCTTGTTGGAATGGCATATGAGACGCAGCATTTACTGGCCCACTCTGATAAGCATGAGGAGGTACATAATCCATCATTCCCTGCTGCTGTTGACCCTCTTCTGACGGCTCCATTGCTAAGCTAACTCTGTTAATATAAAATTGTAGATTGACAGTTAACCCAAAGTTGGGGGATTTAGAACCAAAGTCTTAAAAATTCCAGATAAAAGAAGCGCATGCATGCCCGAATTCAGCTCAGATATTCTGGTTTCAAATCCGCATTTTGGAGTCACAAACAAAGCAGAGCACGATTCACAACAGAGACCAAACAGGATAACTTTTGTTACTTTGGTTTTGTCAAAGCTAAAGGATCAAAGAAGCAAAATTTGAAGAAAAAGAAATTCGAGAGAGAAGGTTACATAGAAACAGAAAATGGAAGAAGAAAAAACAGAGACATACCAGTGAGAGTGAGATCTCGCGAAACCCTAAGAAAAATGGGTTTGGAGATGGTTAGCTTTTTATCAAGCGTTTCTGAGGATGGTGGTATCTTCCGCCCAGTCGACACGTGTCGAGAAAGTAGAAGTTTGGAGGTTATTGCCATCTGTACGCTTTTCATTGGGTATGTTGTGTTATTCCAGAAATTTCTTTAGCGGACGGTTTCGAGGGAAAAAGTTTGGGCGAAGAACACGTGACGTGCGCGTGAACAAGTCACGTGACATTTGCGCAAACCTACTTTCGACTTTCGAAGAAGCCCATTGGATCTTGTGGGCTGGGTCGGGTCAAATAGAAGAATCGAGGACGGGGAAGAGCAGAGTTGTTTAGGTGAATCTAGCCAAAAACGAACAGGCTCTCATAAAACATGCATCTTCTCAATTTCAATTATACTTTACTTTGTATAATCCATGAAATTATAGTAATTAATATACTCAACATTCAAAAGTGGAGACAACCCTGGTCATGTATATATCATTGCATTCATGGACATACTTCTCCGACGAAATTAAAATCATCAAAGTAAGTTTGGTTGTCGATGAAGTTGAACCACTCGTCGTACTCATTGTTAAGACTAGGTGTATGTGTGGTTGATTCAACCACCTGTCTCCACAAGTTGGATTCTCCGTTTGTGTCCTCAAATCCATATGGGATACGTCCTAGTTGAGGATGATCAGATGATTGCGATTTGGTTACCACCTCTTGAGTCACTCCGCATGTGGTTGAAATGTGAGATTCGTGGTAATGAAGAAGAGAGTCTAGCGGAAATAACATTTCGTTATCCTGAAGAAACTCAGAGGTTATATCATCAAAGTCATCATGGTCGAGCAGGAATTGGATCTCGTTGAGTTCATTAACCTCATGAAGCTCTGGTTTTGTGTGCATACACTCGCCTTGGGGATGTGACGAAGTAGCTGAGTCTTGGCTCTCTTTTAACCCTGAATGCATTTCTTCTTGAGCCCCGTCACAGTTCTTGTCATGATCTGCTTTTGTGCTTTGGTCATGAGTGCTAGAGATTGAGGAAGAAGATGGAGTGATTAATCGTTTCTTGAGATGAGTGTTCCACACGTTCTTGATCTCGTTGTCCGTTCTTCCGGGCAAGAAGGACGCGATCTTTGACCACCTGATCACATATATCAATTAGTCTCTACATACTATATATTGTCTTATTATAAAGAAATTAGATGAGTAGGTAGAGTACAAACTTGTTTCCAAGGGTTTGATGGTAGTGAATGATGGCATCTTCCTCCTTTTTGCTAAAGTTACCTCGCTTCACGTCCGGTCTCAGATAGTTTATCCATCTCAGTCGGCAACTCTTCCCACATCTCATCAACCCTATATATCAATCATTATTTCTCTTAGTTATCGAAAACCATTTAATATTGTCGAAACATGCATGAATAAATACTAACCAGCAAGCTTGGGAAGAGATCTCCAGTTTTGATGGCCATGTTTTTGAATAAAAGTGATGAGAGTGAGATCTTCTTGAGGGCTCCATGGCCCTCTCTTCACTTTGTTCTTGTCGCAGCATGGTGCTCTTCCTTTCCCCATTCTTAATACACTACTTTCTTCTCCCTATACCTTCACTCTATATATGCAACTGTTATGTTTTTGATTATTATCAGGAGCTCCTATATATATCATAGATATAACCTGGCCCTTTACGTCAGATGTTATATAATTATTAATTAGAGATTAGATGTTCCACTCCATTCAATAAAACTCTTCTTTTATTTGAGGCACTTCAATCACTCGTAGAGAGAGACCCAAAAGCATGGAACGTACGGAAGTGAACGGCAATGATTATTGTGATTACCCTTAAAAAAAAAAATTATATGTCCATGTACAGATTATAGTGTCCTTTAAGTATTATTGTGAAAAAAAATTATGCATGATTCATTGATGAGTTACGAAAAATATGTATAGTAGTTTGAGCATCACAAATATTTAAACAGTTTTAAAATATACCTTTCTGGATTATTCAGTTTTAATTAAAATATTTTATACAAAATGATTTTTGACTAGAGTCTAGAGTAGATTTTGATATGAGCGAGTAGAAATTGAGGCCACAAGGGGCATGCCACAAACAAAGTAACACCAATTGGAGAAATAAATAGAGTAAAAATCTTTTACTCTTAGAGCAAACACAGTGGGATAATTTTTAGAGGGGTGTGAGTAATAAAAAAATCAAAAATAAGGGAATAGTGCGTTTGGAGACTGAATCCGGCTGTGTGATAACACTCGGGTGTTATCTACACGTGTCTTCCTCAGAAACAAAGATGAATAAAGCAGCAACTTTAAGCTTGACAACGATTTCGGTTAGTCTTTTTCTTTATTTATAAACTTAACCTCTTACATTATTTTAATAATAAATTACAACTAACGCACATCCTCCCACTTATCCCATTGTGGATGCACTTGTCACATCAGTGGCTTATTGTTTATTAATCATGACACTTTTATTATTTGACATTTAGTGAAGAATAAGAATATTATAACCCTTCTCTTTAGCTTATTAATTTATTTACTCCTTTTAGAATTTCTTATAAAACTCAACTCACATCATCATCGAAGTTTAGGTTTATATATGTTTACACTTTTCTACTCTTTTTTTTTTTGCTATGATGTTTTTATACAAAGAGTAATGGAAGTTCACATTTCTATTAGTATTTAGAGAAAACTAGTATATATTATTGACTGACTTTATTATTGATATACAATTTACTAGGTGAATATCCGTACTACGTTGCGTTTTTTTTTTTTTTAATTTATATTTTATTTTATTAAATGTCATGTTTTGATAAATGTAATTTATAGTTTTCTAATCACTCACTCATGCAATTGAAATTAACGTATCAATAATTACTTTTAGTGTCAAAATACTTTTTTCTACCAATCTTCTCAACAATGTATTACTCACACAATTCGGTAACAATCTGCATACTAAACCAACCAATTTTATAGATGGTAATGTTATGACTTAGGATTATAGAAACCTTAAGAATTTGATGATAGAACTCTTGTTACTTACTCCTCACCCTCGGTGATATATTATACAGATATAGATTAAAGAGAATAACATACTCAAACCATTAACTAACCTATTGTACTATTATATACGCATATCTTGAGTTAAGATTACAACAAAATAGCGAAAAACCTCAATTAATTATGAAAATAACAATACAACAATTTTATTGAAAACAAGAAACATATAATAATAAAATAAAAATAGTAATTGAACAATTAAATGTAGACAATAAAGTGTACTTTGATTAGTTGTTAAAAAAATATGTGTGTGTGTGTTTTTTGTTTTTTTTTTGATAAAAGTTTCTTGAATAGTGCTATATACTTTGATGTTGATAAATGTGTATATACGAAGTGTATATAGAAAATATGATTTAAGTGTTTATTATTGTAGTGTGGATTTTATCATCACTATAGGCAATGATCTGTATAATATGTGAGACATAATTAAAAGGATTTTGTGCAAAAAATCTTCACAGTTACCAATTTTTGCAACTTTACCATCGACCTCAAAAAAATGCAGTTGAATCATATGAAGTCAAAAATAATCACAATATGATTATTCTGCATTTTTTAGAGGTTGATGGTAAAATTACAAAAATGGGTGGTTTTGAGGTTTTTTTTGCACAAACCCCTAATTAAAACTAACACTATGGGATTGAATGGTATACAATTTTGAAAACGCGATTCCCCTAAATACATATCATTCACAAAAACTTGTGCTGAATTATAAAACGTAAAAAATAACAAGTGGTTTTCAAATTTATCCAGCATGTTTTAAAATTATAACTAAAATTAAATTCAAAAAGTTCATTCATCTACTAAATAGTACTCCCTCTGTTTCATTATATAGGATGTTTTGGAGTTTTTATTATGTTTCATTATATAAGATGTTTTACAAGTTTCAATGCAAATTTTAAATATAATTAATATTTTTTATTATATAGATTATGCAGTCTCTTAATTGGTTGATTTTTTAACAGTCAAATATTAAATGATAACTTTAAAAAGAAAATTAAATTTCTTAAACAATGTGTTTTTCTTAAACAATGTGTTTTGGCGTTTTAAAGATAAGTCATTTATGTTCAGCTTAAAGAGTGTTGTTATTTCATATTGAATCCGTTATTTCATAATCTGACTATTCTATTATTCAGCTGTTAATCTGACATACTATTCAAACCCTATATATATAATATTTGACCAAACTTGTAAGACCATCATTAACGGTGAGTTCTTAGCTTTAGCTCTTAACATTATTTAATATTAAAATTTTGATTTTTGTAAGTTAATAATCAAATTTTAGCTCTTAACACTCCCAAAAGCTCTTAGCTAAGAGTCAAATCTTAGCATTTTAACCTGTTTTGATTTATTTTTCAATATTTAATTCTAAGATAATAAACTAAGAACCATCTAAGATATATACCACCAATAATGGTGTTCTAACATGATAACATCTGGGAAACCAATACATAAGATAAAGATTAATTGTCTGGTAAATTTCCATTGAAGGGTCTCGTCTCGAAAATACCCTTAAATTTTATCTAAACACAAATTTGCTGTTTAAAGCATATATATTTCCTAGTGTTAATAAAAATAAAACAAAAAGCATATATATTCCACTTCTTGAAATTTTAAATTATTTATATGTATCTACGATCGCTGAGCATGACGATTCCTTCTAGAACTGAGTTCCTTATTATTATTAAAAAAAAAAAAATACTCAAAAACTTCAACACGAAGTTGTACATCCAAATCGAGCATATATCATATGATAATGATAAATTTGTAGTTGTTTAGAATATAAATTGTGATGATTAATTCATATATTGGTGCTTAATTTCCATAGTTTAAAATATGGCATGGCATGGCATGGTATAGACTTCAAACCCACGCCACAAGGCTCTGATGTAAGATTGCTCAAAAACCTATTGATCATCATATATATATATATATATTATTTACTTTATTAAAACACGTAAGTATGCAATTTTATATAGGTTTAATGCACGATGTACTAAACAGGAATACCATCCTCTATTTTAGTTAGGCAAGCAAGAGTCTTAATTAAGACTCGTAACTCTGATCTTTTAGTGAGGTTAAATGTGTTATGAGTTAATCTAAATTTAAAGTGCTAATAAAATGTGTGGAAGTACGAATAATCCATGCCTCCCAATCCCATTCCCAACTTCCAACCATAATCAGAATACGTACTTCTTTTGTACGTTATACGGATATACAAAATAGATTGGACATAAGGTAAAGTTTTAAAACGTGACGTAACATGTGGGTCTAAGATAAGTAAAAAACATAAACATGAAACTTGCAATGATTGGCAACACATTCTGTATCACATATATCTATACTAGTATAATCGCAGCACTTTTTGTAACGGATGGGTAAAAAAGCTTTCGGGTATATCGGATATCCGACCCATTTTAAAAATTCCTTCACACAAAATTTGTTGGGTCGGGTTATATTTAACCCAACTCATACACCGGATATTCTATATTTAATAATTTAGATTTTTAGAAGATTTGATTCAGATTTATAATTATGATTCTCCTATCATCTTTGTTTGATTTGTTTTTAACTGTTTTGAATCATCATATAATACATAAAGTAAAAAAAAAAATCAATTTTTTTTCTGCATATACTGTGATTCGAAATTTTAAAAACGGACATATATTATCCAATTGACGAAAATGTGTGTTCAACGTTCTACATCGATTAAAATATTTAGACAATGATTCAGAATCATATCATAAATAAGAACATTAATAAAATAAATGAGTTTTTTTGCGGGATGGGTTTGGCGGGACGGGTTTTTGAATCAACAATAATAAAAAGATTAAAATATCATTAATCCGCCGCTTCAATACGGATTTAATCCTTTTTTTTTTAATACAAATCACAGGACGGGTTAAGAAATTACGAAACGGGTTATATTTCGGAAATGATTTATATGGCGGACGAATTTGAATCAATATTTATATACCGCTTTAATACGGGTTAAATCCTCAGTTTATTAATAATTATCTCGTGGACTCGTGGTATACCGTTACTTAATAACAATTGTAAACTATAATATAAATAAATATGTTATAAGGAGATACAATTTACAAAATATTTTTATACTAATTTTAAAATTAAATCCACCGCGGGTTAAAATCTAGTACGTTTAGATATAGGAGTATATATAAATATATAAATAGTTTGTTATTTTTATTTGGAGTGGTCAACTTATATATGACTTGATTCATAAAAAAAAAAGTAAGCAAAACAAAAAAAGAAATTAATTAAGAGCTTCTGACTTGTGAGTAAGTGTATGTTTAGCACTTCTTCCTCGCGACGTCGTGTTACTTGTGCAATTCTACGCGTGCTTGACTTCAACTCTACACGTGTTTTGAGTTTTGACAATGAATAAACTTGGTCCGTACATATATAAAATATCCTCCACCAACTTTACTGTAATTATGAAGTTATATATTAAAACTTAAAAGAAGTAGTTGAAGATGTAGCTGCAGTCTGATGAAGTTGTTGAATGAGTTAAGAAGTAATACAAATTTTTGTCTGATGGAGTTCCTGAATGATTCAAGAAGTAAGTCAAGATGCGACTGTTTTTGTGTGTGTGTCGGTTTCTAGAAGGTTTGAGAAGATATGTTTGGAGCGTGTTTAGAGGATGAATCACAAAGGAAAAAGGACTTAAAGAGATTTGGAAGACTTGATGAAAGTGGAGTTTGGTGAGAAAAAAGAAAAATATAAAAGGAAATTTACTTTTTCTTATGGAAATTGGAAATCTTCTCCTATGGTGATTAGGAAATCGTTTTGGCTATATAAGGAGGAGCTGAGGACGTCTTTGAGAAGGAAGAGAGCTGAGGCATAGAGGCAAATCATTTAGAGCTTTCAGAGGGTGTGTGCGACATAGTTTCGCGGTTTTGTGCAACTTAGTTTTGCGGGTTTTGTGCTTGTGTGATCAAGTGGTTTTGTTTTGAAGTCTAGGCTCAAGGGGAGTTTAGCTCAGGGTTAGGTTATCCTGATTAAATCTAGACTCAAGGGGAGTTTAGTTAAGGGTAGAGATTATCCTTAAGGTTTCACGTTATAGAAGGGAGCGGTAAATCAAGAGGGTTGGGCTTGTTTTACGCGTTTGCGAATTGGTTGTAATTTGCTTTCTTGTTCTAGTGAAATCGAAATCTGGACTTGGTCCCGGGGAGTAGGAAAAACCGAACCTCGTTAACAAATTTCTTGTCTCGTTTACTTTCTACAATTTATCTTACCTCATCCGCACTTACAATTGGTATCAGAGCGGGTTCTCGATAGAGATTTAGTCTTGTTTCGGGTAGATCAGGGTGAGGTTCAGGAGATCGTTCAGAAGATCGTTTAGAAGATTGTTCAGGAGATCGTTCAGAAAGTAAGACAGAGCTGAGAATCGTGTGAGATGGAGTCATACAAGGAAGGTACGTCTATGACAAGACCACCACTTCTTGATTCAGCAAATTATGGATATTGGAAGGTTCGTATGTAAGCTTTTATTAGTAATCTTGATGAAGATTGTTGGAATTCAATTGAACTTGGTTGGGAGGTTCCTAAAGTTATGGATGATGACGGAGTTGTAAGTCTCAAGCCAAGAGGTAAGTGGACTGCTGCAGAGAAAAGACTATCAAGTTGCAATTCTAAGGCTAAGACTGCGATTTACAATGCTATTGATTCAAGCCGCTTTAAGTTGATTTCTCAATGTGCATCAGCTCAAAAAGCATGGAAGACATTAGAGAATATGTTTGAAGGTACTACAAGCGTTAAGAGAACGAAATTGGATATGTTGGCTTCGCAATTTGAGAATCTAAGGATGGAAGAAGAGGAAACTGTGGCTGATTTTAGTGCAAAGTTATGTGACATATCTAATGAATCGTTTGTTCTTGGAAAGGTCTACAAGGACAAAAAGCTAGTGAAGAAGTTGAAGAGATCATTGCCTGCAAAATTTGAGTCAAAGATTTCTGCAGTTGAAGAAGCTCATAATCTAGATGAGATGGCTTTTGATGAGTTTGTTGGGATTCTTCAAGCTTTTGTGTTAAGCAAAGCATATGAAGCTAAAGGAAAGATGAAGAAGGTGGATGAAGTGAAGAAGGAAGTTGACATTGGAGTTGCTCTTAAAGGATCATCAACTGAAGATTCAATGGCTATGTTGTCAAGACAGTTTACTAAATATCTGAAACGAAAGGGAAAAGAGAGGAAGGATAGAATTGATGAAGAGTTGAGAAGTTCATCAAAGAATGTGCAATGTTTTGAATGCAAAGGATATGGACATGTTCGTTCGGAATGCACCAATCTACAAAAGCATAAGAAGAAGGCCATGAATGTTGTCACTAGTGATTCTGAAACTGATTCAGATAAAGAAGAAGAAGATCTGAAGAATTTTGTGGCTTTGACAACTTTCAATTCTAGTTCAGATATAGATTCTGCGTCAGTCTCTGAATTAGTGTCTGCAACAGAGTCTGCATCAGCATCTGCAACAGGGTCTGCATCAGCATCTGCAACAGGACCTGCAATTAAAAGTGAAAACGATGAATGTGATAGTGATGCAGAGAGTGTTGATGATGAAGAATTTGCTGAGAATTATAGAGCCTTATATGAGCATTGGCTTAAAATGGTTGAAGAGAATTCAGTGTTAACTAAGGAGAAACTCAAGTTAGAGGCTAAAGTCATTGAAGTACAGAAATATGTTGTAGAAAAAGAAGAAGAAGCATCACAAGCCAAAGTACAACTTGAAGAAACTCAAAAGAATTTGAGGATGCTTAATAATGGCACAAAGAAGTTGGATCATATTCTGAATATTGGCAAGATTGATAAGTGTGGCCTTGGATTTGAAGGAAAACTTTCAAAATCGGATCCAGTGTTTGTTTATGGTGGAAAAATCACGTCTGGATCAGGAAGTGTGTCAGAAACTCCAACTATGGCAGAGACTACATCCGGTACAAGAACTACTACGAGAACTGGTACAGAGTCTGATACATGAAAAGTTAAAGAACTGCAGAGTGCACCTCGACGAGTTTTTCGACCTGTTTGCCATCATTGTGGTATTGTTGGGCATATTAGGCCAAGGTGTTTCAGATTGTTGAGGGAGAGAAATCGAATGGAGAATGCTTATGATAAGAGATTTCATGGTCCTACATGTTATCATTGTGGAGTTCAAGGGCATATTAAGAGGAATTGTTTCAGATTCATTCGAGAATCCAGTCATGAAGGCTTAAGGCGCAGGAAGATTTGGGTTAGGAAAGATGATTTCTATGGAGGTGGTGAACTAGGCTATCAACTTCGTATTGCAAAGCGGGGAGAATTTTCCAAGTAGTTTTGACCATGTTGTGACTCATTCAGGGGGAGAATGATGATGTGTTTCGAGTTGTTGTTTTGGAGTTAGAACTGATGAGTTCACAAACATAGTCAAAAAGGGGGAGAATGAAGATGTAGCTGCAGTCTGATGAAGTTGTTGAATGAGTTAAGAAGTAATACAAGTTTTTGTCTGATGGAGTTCCTGAATGATTCAAGAAGTAAGTCAAGATGCGACTGTTTTTGTGTGTGTGTCGGTTTCTAGAAGGTTTGAGAAGATATGTTTGGAGCGTGTTTAGAGGATGAATCACAAAGGAAAAAGGACTTAAAGAGATTTGGAAGACTTGATGAAAGTGGAGTTGGTGAGAAAAAGGAAAAATATAAAAGGAAATTTACTTTTTCTTATGGAAATTGGAAATCTTCTCCTATGGTGATTAGGAAATCGTTTTGGCTATATAAGGAGGAGCTGAGGACGTCTTTGAGAAGGAAGAGAGCTGAGGCATAGAGGCAAATCATTGAGAGCTTTCAGAGGGTGTGTGCGACATAGTTTTGCGGTTTTGTGCAACTTAGTTTTGCGGGTTTTGTGCTTGTGTGATCAAGTGGTTTTGTTTTGAAGTCTAGGCTCAAGGGGAGTTTAGCTCAGGGTTAGGTTATCCTGATTAAATCTAGACTCAAGGGGAGTTTAGTTAAGGGTAGAGATTATCCTTAAGGTTTCACGTTATAGAAGGGAGCGGTAAATCAAGAGGGTTGGGCTTGTTTTACGCGTTTGCGAATTGGTTGTAATTTGCTTTCTTGTTCTAGTGAAATCGAAATCTGGACTTGGTCCCGGGGAGTAGGAAAAACCGAACCTCGTTAACAAATTTTTTGTCTCGTTTACTTTCTACAATTTATCTTACCTCATCCGCACTTACAGTAGTATCAGGGACAATGAATATCATTAGATGTCTCGGACCATGGTGATTTTAGTAGAATTGTATATTGTAGATTTGAATTGCCGTGTGACGTGTGGACCATGGTGAATTTGACTATACGAGACAAAGAATGCATGCACTAATATGTGGTTGATTGGTTGGGAATACAGTTTAAACTAATCATAATGTTTTCTTACTTTCTTTTGTAGTTTGATTTTGGGAATGTAATAGCAGAACGGCTTTTTTTAAAACATAGAAAACCTAATAAATGATTTGTAAGATTTTTCTTGGTAGTTAGTCTAATACTCCAAAAATTCATCATACGACTTTTAATCTAAAACACAGAAGGCATTAATGTATGAGAATGTAGTACAACATAAACTAATCATAATGTAATATGATATTATAGTAGAACTAAAAAAAACATAGAAAAACGAATAAATGAGTTGTAAGATTTGTCTTGGTATTCTAGTGGTCATAAAATTCATTATATGGTTGATATATGAACCATCTTCGAATCTTTCTATTATGGTTTTAATCATGATTGATTTTGTGTATATCATAATAAAAATATCTAATTATTCGCAATCACTCACATAAAAGTAGTCTGCATTTCGGTTTCTGACCATTAATTTGTAAGAAAAAGGAAAAAAAAAAACAAAATACAAGAGCTAATAAATGGGTGACTACAAATGTGGTTGTGGAGGTGAAGTAACATGGGAAGACTAGTTAACATACATAACTCCTTACCACATAATTATCCGGAAAAAAAAAAAAAAAGTAGCTACGAGAAATAGAAAAGGAGAATAGTTAAGTTACACAATATTGATTTTGTGAAGTTATCTATTCCCCCAACTTTGGGAAGCAGCTAATGACATTGTTGGCGCTACTACTTATGGGAAACATCTTACGACGGTTTCTCCAACCCAAATTACTCATGTGTTGATCGCAACCAGAAAAATAAAAGCCTCAAATCTCGATTTTGTCACATATAAACGAATTAGATATAGAATAGGTAATTTACATAACTCTGCTTTGCCCTGTAGGTTGTAGCTAAGTAGCAAGATACTATAGGACACTAGAAACGTCTTATGTCTCAAAAGAGACCATTTAGGTCATGTGACTCGGCGAGTCCGAGACGGAGAGACTCCAAGATGCGTTCGAACACAAGTACGTGGCAAGGGATGCGAAGCACTCCTTGTTGCTCGTATCCATACTCTTGAGCCGACCGCTTCAGCAACGCTACGAAAACGGGGTGGTTGAGAAGCTCCGCATTCACCACGAACCGCTCCATCTCTTGGCCTACGTAGACAGGCACGTGTCCCTCGGGAACCCAAGATTTGTGTTTCTCCTTCTTGGTGCGGCCACGCTGGGATTCAGACCGGAGGAGGCTATACTGTGTTGAGTCCGCGACTCGCGATAGACGGCGGATTAGCTGTTTCATCGTCCAAAGACCTCTAAGGAGCAGACCAGAGTAGCGTGGTTACAAGAGGCAAGAGAGTGAGAAGGTCTTATATAGAGAGACGAGGGTAAAACTGGAAAGGAGTTGTACTTGCTAAGTAAAATAATTGTTTTATTTATGTGAATTAAAGTAGACAAGTCCGATTCAAAACGAAAATAAATCCAGTTTCGCGGTTTCGTGGAAAAGAGGTCGTAGCTCTGTGCATTTGCCGTGGACAATCGGAAGTTGTGAAAGAGATGTTGTGTGGAAAAGTATGGTATAATTCTTAAATAGATAAATCCAATACTATAGTCTGAAATGTGGTTATATATTTTTGCGGAATATAAAAGAATTAGGAAAAGAGAGGCGTAAATTGCGGGGGACGTATTTGGACTTTGGAGTATAGGAAGTAGGGACAGTACAAATGTACAATTCCGTGACTCCGAATGTCTTATTGTCAATTTGTCACTGCTTTTTTCTTTTTCTTTTTACAAAATTTTAAAAACCATGCACGATTGTTTGTTTGTTTTTTAATATATATAGATAATGCATCAATGCATGCATGGTTGTTTGTTGTGATTATTGCAAAAAACCTATAGATATATGAATTTACAGAAATAACAAATAAATCGCTACCTTGAATGAGAAAACAGTTTTCGTGAAAGTTTAACGTTAGAATGTGATAGTCAAATAAACTTATAAAACACTGAATCGGTTGAACCCAGAACAGAACCTTTATAGTCTTTGGTAAGGAAATAAATCGGATGAACTTTGGTTCGCATTATGTTGTTGGAAACAAAAAAAAAAAAAAATACAAATAGGCAAGGAGAAAGATGATGGGGAAGTTATAAGCATAGTAGAAGGAACATTCTCCCGTCTATTAGTGCATGCAGTTATAATTCAAATGATAAATAGAAGAGAATGACCAAGTGTCGTTAGCTCAACCGGTAAAGACCATAGGCGAAGCTTAGAAGTTGCCAGTTCGAGTGACGCTTGGGACGAAACTAATATTATATGCTGTGGTTTCGAGCTCCGAACTTCCTGGTATTCAAAAAAAAAAAAATAGAGGAAAATGACACTATTCTCTAAAGAATAGTTAGTGAATCACGTGAAGTTAATGAATTTTGGGGGAAATAAACGCCGTACGGTGGTCCATTCGTACATAATGACCCACCCACTGACTTTATCTTTCTTCCATTTACGTGTCATACCAATACCAACACGACTTTTCTTCTGAAATTAAATGCATATATCTCTTCTTTTCCTTATTCCCCCAAAAAATATCTCAAATGGCTTTGAAATGATGATTTTCGTTATTTGGTACTACATGGAGAACACCACTATTTACTTCAAATATAATATACAACGTTTTGAAGTGAAGTGTAGTTTGGTAAAAGTTGCATTTACATACTCAATAATTAACCAACCTGTGCTACTTGCGAGTAAATGAAGCACTACGCACCGGTGAATTAATATATAACTCTTCCCGAGTCACTCAAATAGTGTGTAGATAGCAATGAGATAAATGCGAAAGCATGGGCTGCACCAACTGTCCAGCCGTACGCTCCATGCTACGGACACTTTGCTTTCAACTTCGACTTTTATTTATGTTTCTTATTAAATACCATGCGAATATCAAATCAAGAGTATTTCTCTATTTTTAATACCATGCGAATTTTGGATACGTAAAAAAGGCAAAATAAATCATCCAAGCAATTTAACAAATGAGTTTATGTCCTCACAAATCTAAAAAAATCATTTAGGCAATCTTTTTTCATTTTTTTTTTCATTTAGACAATCTTACAAATCAATTTGATATATACTAAAACATTGTTCGTTCGAAACTAACAAATCTCCAGCACTTAACCAGACACACACACACACACGCAGGCCTCTAAATTCCATCATTGGTCACAATATTGAAATCAAACATGTTTCAATTCACCACATTGACGCTTGTTCGACCGAGCAGACTCGTGCTCTCTTCATATATAGAAAATGGGACCTTGTGCCCAATTTAAAAAAACGTTTATATCATAGATATGTTTGGATTTAGACCCTTTTTATATATATAGTTATTAAGAAACTCTAATTGTTTAAAGAAAACTGACTAAAAATAATGGACCTATACAAATGTACTGTGGACACACCCTCTAAGCCGGACTTGACTAGAACTTTAAGTTTCTTTTGAACCCCCTTGTGGAAACTTTCTCTTGTATTTATACTCAAACACAGAGACGGCCTTCAGTTTTCGTAAACTACAAGAATTTTTGTTTTGTTTTGTTTTGTTTAATTTGTTTTTTTTTTTATTATCATTGGCCATATTTTCATAAGAAAAATAAGAGAGAGGAAGCCGACAGCGGTTTAAGTTAATTGATTTGGATATATTTTTTTTCGTTCCCTTCATTTTTTATATTAATTTTATATAAAAAAATGTTTTGTTGAGAAAAGTGTAGGGAAAAAACATTGTAGACATTCTAACTTGGGTGATCTCTGAAAAGAGGCCACTTTAATTGTGCCTCAAGGGGGAAAATAAAAATTGGGCCTCAAGGCCAATGAAATATCTATTACTTCTGTAGTCAAGATTTCATTCGGACTATAACCTAGGCCTACTATAACCATAGCCAAGAGAGATTGTCAAACCAGGATTTTATAATGTAGAACTAAATATGAGAAGATTTAGTTGTTGGCAACAAATAGCTCCATGCATGCATTAACAGTTTTAAATGTAACTGACTTGAACCAACTAAGAAGACATATATATTTTTTTGATAATATTTATCAACCCTAGAAAAGGAAAATCGGAACCAGAGTTTTACACGGCAGTGACGGCCAAAATAAAGAGAAAGAATTAAAATGGAATAAAAAAGGCAAAATTTTAAGGTTAGTGATCGATTTCTACTGCAAAAATTTCAATTTATGAGTCTAGTATCATCGATTTCATATTGGAAATTTGCCAGGGAAAATTTGTATGTTTTGTTGAGTCAAATCTTTAGAAGTAAACGAGACTCCGAAAAATTGAGACTACCGGTTGCTTTGGATAGAAGAAATGTCATCACCAAGTTAAGAGAAACCTAGAAAAAAACCTACAGCTTCGACAGAGTTTTCTAACTTGATTCATTTCAAGGTAGGGGACTTTAAAGTCGTTTCGTACATAATCAATTTGATACAGAATGTATGTTGCATTACAAAGTTGTCTCGTACAGAACCTCACTACGAAGTTGTGTTGATACACAGTTTCTCATACAGTACAGATCACGGATACATGAAAATGTTCTTAAATGATATTTTATTTTAGAGATTGAACCAGTAATAAAATCGGTTAGAGATGGCTGCAACGCTTGCATTTCCGCATACATACAAACATGTACTTGAAAAACTGCTATTATGGTAACAACAGGTACATGATCTCAGAGAGTTGCTTGTTTGTCAAGTAACTAAACCCATTGATCCAATACCTCCAAGGTAATAATACTCATAACATGTGTAGATATCTCCATTGACTATATATATACGTTTATGAGTGATTCTCTTTCACAGACACAAAGAAAGAGATAGATATTAAGAACTTCAGTGAATGATTTCAAAATTTTAATCAAGTCTTCAAGTTATACAAATTATTAGTTGCGAAACAGAGCAACTGTCTCCACTAACTCTAACTCTCTGGTAAAAAAAATCAAAATTTGGACATCTTTTCTTAATTACATAATCTTCTTTGATATATGATGAAAATCATGAATTATGATCCGTTTATCAATCATGTCTTGGAGCTCCTTAGAGACGGCGTGAAACAAACAAGATTTGGCTAGTGATCATAATCTTGGAGGAAGTGAGCGCGAGTTGAAAACCAAAGCCACCGGTCGTCGTGTTGATAATGTCTCTTTATCTGCTCTTGGAGATGTCGTCGATCAACTCTGAAAGAGTCTCTCGATAAGTAAGATCTTATGAAAATCTTAGTCTTAGCTGAAGGATGTTTTCTCTTCATCACTAAAGTTTATTTCTAGATTTTTGAATTTTGAGGCCAATGCTCTAAAATATTGATATATGCTAGTTGAGCCTATGCAAAATGAGAGGTATCTATGAGAGTATTCTGACCAAATTTAGACACAATTGGATGCAATTAAACTTAATCTGCCGTTCTTCCATGGTGTTTTTAGCAACAATGTCCAAAACAAGATAAACCAAAATACCAAATAGAAAAAAAAAAACTAGAGTCATAAGGGTTGAAAAACAATAAGAGGCATTACGTCTACACCTCTTCCATGGTGTTCAACATCCAAAACAAGATAAACCAAAAAACAAATAGAAATGAAAAAAAACAGAGTCATAAGGGTGGAAAATCAAAAAGAGGCATTACTACACCTCTTCTAAATCGATACTTGTCTAATTTGCTTCAGCGATCAAAGAGTTAACCTCATGGAAAAACCTTGACTTTAGCCACAGATATTCAGATTCCTTTTCTTTGAGCAACTTGAACTTCTCTTCGAGCTTCTTCTTCATCTTCATCGATACCAAGCTCCATCTCTGTTTCACGACATGTTCAGCCACCCCAAAGCTCGCAACTGATCCTACAAGAGAAGAATTTACGAACCAATCTAATACCTTTTCTTCATTGGGTTTCAAAGACTCCTCCTTCACCTTAGTAGATTCCCAAATCAATTTGGAAAGTTGAAAACATTTCAGGTCGTGAGCCTTTGCAAAAGATTTCTCATCTGCACCCTTGTTCCTCTTTCGGAGATACTTGTCCTTTAAGCGACGGATCTTGGTAGTGAATTGACTCTGATTCGCTTGAAAGCTAATGATGTTCTTCACCGTATCAATAAAAGCAGTCATATCATCATAAGGACTCTTCCCTTTATCATTCTTGAAATCGATCATGCCTTGCAGCAAGACGATCTCATCATCTTCACTCCACTTCCTTTGAAAATAATTCTTTTTGGTAGGAGGAAAATTCTTACCAGGATCTTTTTGCTCTTCTTCCTCAGACGAAGAACCTGACTCCTTACCTTCTTCCTCAGACGAAGAGCCTGACTCATGTCCTTCTTCCTCTGTCGCCATTTCCTCGTCGTCGCCGGAAGATTCTGTCGTCGGTGGATTTTCCAACGATTGTGGACTCCTCTTCTTCGTCGGTGGATCTTCCAACAGTTGCAGACACCTCTTCACCGTCGATGGATCTTCCTCCGGTTTGAGACGCTTGTTCTCCAGTTCGGAAAGCTTGTTCTCCGGTTGTGAACGCTTCTTCTTCTTGGCCATCGAACTTTTGAGAGAGCGGGAGGCCAAAAGTTTTGTTATTCCTCTCATTTTTTTTTTGTCAAGATAAAAAGAGTTAAGAGTTGTTATAAAGATCTCCTAATTATTATGTTGTGCGACTCTTCACTTAACTAAGATGCCAAAAAACAAAAAAGAGTATATTTATAATTTAATTAAATTGAAAGAGAGTCTCGTCTCTGTTTACGAAGCGAGAACCAGAGTTGCATGAATTTCTTAAGGAGGTGATGCGATTTCTAACTATTTGTTCGACTTGTGTAGTTTAGAAGCACATAATTGCATATTCAGTTTACATATTTTTTCAAATAGACTAATCTAAGCATTGCTTGATTTATTTCTGAATATAGTTCATGCTAACATAACAATATTTACTGGAATATATATACTCTGCATCTCTACATCATGTTTAATATTTCCTGACTCCACCACTTTAGATGACACTCCACCAACTTAACTCATAACTCTTCAGTTTTTTGTGTCATTAAGCCAAATACACATATGTCTATAATAACCAATGAACAATGACATCACGAAAGCAGAAATCAAAATTAGAATAACTCTTCAGCAACATCTTTATCCCTTGTGTGTTTTCTTTTCTCTTCTCTTCGTGTTCTGGTTGATCGAGAACGGAGTCGGTAAGATTGCAACTACAATTGACTTCTCCCACGAAAATTTGCAGCCAAGACTGCCAAAACGTTTATGTGTGTAAAATAACTCAAGAAAGAGATAAAGATGAGAAACTTAAACTTTCATATTGAAATCTCATAGGCAAAACCCTAGACATAGTTTTGCTTTTATACAAGAGATAAGAACAATCTAGACTAAGAACAATCTAGACTATGATGAGTCATCAGGTGACAGCTATGACACTTGATCCGAGAGTGATGCAAATCTATTCGCCAGCTTGATTGGTTGAGGTGTGGAGACAGTACTCTTTGTCGTTGCTCTGCTTTTGGTCAAGGTTACCGTTGGAGACTTTGTTGACTGAGACAATGACTTGGGTTCTTGGTGGGCTTCTTGTTTGTGGTTTGAGCCCACATCCAATGTATGTTTAACATTCCCCTGCAAACTCGAGGTGGGAGGATAATCCACACCGAGTTTGAATCGAAGAGAGAAGAAGCTAGACTGAGGCAACGACTTTGTGAAGATGTCTGCAATCTGAAGATGTGCTGGTATATGCTTGACAATGAGAGTCCCCATAGCCACCATTTCTCTTGCATAGTGGAAGTGTGTGGCAAAATGTTTGCTCCTTGTATGTAGGACTGGATTGGCTGACAAGTACACGGCTGATAAGTTGTCACAGTAGATTTCTGGTATATTTGTTTGAGGTAGACCAATTTCCTTCATCAGAGCTACAATCCATGAAAGTTCTGCAGCTGTATCAGACACACATCTGTATTCTGCTTTAGTGGAGGACCTTGCTACTGTAGGCTGACGTTTTGCTGACCAAGAGATGATATTAGACCCAAGGAATGTACAAAATCCTCCAGTGGACCTTCTTGTTTGTTTGCAGCCTGCATGATCACTATCACAGTAGGCTCTGGGAGTATAGTCTGTCTCTGATGTGAGATACAACCCCATCTTCAAAGTCCCTTTTAGGTATCTTAGCACTCTTTTCAAAAGGTTGAAATCAGAGACTGATGGTATATGCATTTTCTGACATATGTAATTCACTGCAAACTGAATGTCAGGTCTTGTTAATGTCAGGTATTGGAGCTTACCTGCTAGACATCTGAAGTAAGTTGGATCTTGAAACACTTCATTTTGATGAGGCATTCTGTCTATTTGCACTGGCAGTGGAGTAGGCATGGGAGCACAATCCAACATCCCTGCAGTTTCCAGTAGATCCCTAGCATACTTTTCTTGATTCAGAAACAAACCCTTTGGTGTAAACTGAGCTTGAATTCCAAGAAAGTACTTGAGAGGACCCATATCTTTCATCATAAACTTCTCATTTAGCTTACTCAGCAACTTGGACACTAATCCTGAATCATTGCCAGTCAGCACCATATCATCAACGTATAGAAGCAGTAGCATGACACTTTGTTGTTGTTGGTAAACAAACAAAGATGGATCACCTGTACTGCAGACAAAGCCAAATTCAATCAAGTAAGAACTAAATTTATCAAACCATGCCCTTGGAGCCTGTTTTAACCCATAGATAGCTTTGTGAAGTAAGCAAACATGATCTGGCTTTTCAGGATCTTCAAAACCAGGTGGTTGTCTCATATAGACCTTCTCTTGTAAATCCCCGTGTAAGAATGCATTTTTCACATCCAATTGTTTGATATCCCATTTTTCAACAACTGCAGTGTGTAAGACCATTCTTACTGTTGCAGTCCTTACCACAGGGCTGTAAGTTTCCAAGAAATCAATTCCTTCTTCCTGTTCATATCCCTTTGCAACTAACCTTGCTCTGAGTTTATCCAAAGTTCCATCTGCATTAATCTTTGTCTTGAAAATCCATCGGCTTCCTAATAGATTCACATTTGCAGGTTTGGGAACTAAACTCCATGTGTTAGTAGAATGACATGTTTCAATCTCTTCTTCACAGGCTTCAGTCCATCCTGGACGTTTTAGAGCCTCTTGAACTGATTTTGGCTCTTCTGGTAGACCCTTGACAGTAATTAAGACATATCTTGGATTTGGTTTACGTATTCCTTGCTTCCCTCTGGTGATCATACTGTGCATGTTGGTTTCTTGAGAAGTCTGAGCATTGTCGTCTTGATAGTTTTCAGTCATGTCATTGTGATTCTGAGTTGAATGTAGAGGTGAGATATTGTCTCTTTCTCTAGGTTCTGGATGCACATTCACTTGCTGTGTGGAGTTATCAGGTAACATTGGAGTGAGAAGCTCTTCTTCTGTAGTCTCTTCTGACCCCTCTTCATTCTCATTCTGAACTGAGCCCAAAGACCAAGCCTGCATCAGAGGAGTTGTTGCAGGAGACACCAAATTCTGGTAAGTATCTGTATAGGGAAACCTTGTCTCATCAAAGAGAACATGTCGACTGATGTATACACGTCCTGTAGGAGGATGAAGACACCTGTACCCTTTATATTGCTCTGTATAGCCCAGAAAAACACACAATAAGGACTTAGGATCAAACTTGTTTTTACTGTAGGGTCTGAGATATGGGTAACAAGCACATCCGAAGACTCTTAGAGCTGTGTAGACTGGTCGAACTCCATTCAAGACTTCAAATGGACTCTGCATCTTCTCATGAGTGGTGGTAGGTAGTAGGTTGCTTAGAAAGTTGGTAGTGAATATAGCATCAACCCAGAGATTTTGAGGAAGGTGACTGTGAAACAACATAGACATACCAAGCTCCATTAAATGTCTATGTTTCCTCTCTGCAAGTCAATGTGTGTAAGGGCAAGACATGATGTGTTGAATGCCACAAGCAGTAAAATGATTTTGGAGTTGTCTATTAACAAACTCTCCACCTCCATCACTTTGAAAAATCTTGATTTTCTGATTAAACTGATTCTCCACCAGAGATTGAAAACTCTTAAAAACTTCAGAAACATCAGATTTCAACTTAAGTGGGTACAACCAACAGAACCTTGAGTAATTGTCAATGAATACAACATAAAATCTGAAACCCTGAACTGAAGTAACAGGTGCAGGACCCCAGACATCACTATGTATTCTCTCCAGTGGTCTGCTAGCTTGAAACTCTGATCTTGAAAAAGGAAGCTTGCACGTTTTTCCTAGTTGACATGCTTCACACATTGACTTAGTAGTCTTATTGAAAGAGATAGCACTGATAGAAGATAGATGTTGCATGACTTGATGGTGAGGATGCCCCAGTCTCTTGTGCCAAATAACATCACTTGTAATCTGTTGCCTGGATGAATAGAACGCCAAGAACTGAGGATTCTCCAACCTGTACAAGCCATTACTTTTGCTTCCCCGACTGAGAAGCTGGTTTATGACTTTGTCCTTAACACACACAGACTCATTGTCAAACTCAATTTTACACGGATAATCATCTATCAATTTTGAAACAGAGAGAAGAGATTTTGCAATTTCAGGGCAAACTAAGACATCTTTAAGAGGTAATGTACCTGTCAGACCTGGAAGAGCAATAGAGCCAATGTGTGTGATTGGTAAGAAATCTCCATTCCCCACTATGACTGAGTCATTTCCTTCATAAGGTTGGCTCACATTTAGATTTGCTGCAGTGTTGGTTATATGATGAGTAGCTGCAGAATCAGGGTACCAACCACCTCCTGGATACTGAGGAGAGTCATTGATCTTCATAGCAGCCATAGCCTGAGGGAAATCTTTTACTTCTGTCTGATAGTTCTCATCAAACCTCTTGTAGCATTTGTAAGCCGCATGACCATATTTTCCACATATTTGACAGGTAGGTCTCTGATCATTAGGTCCGTAGGTTGACTTGTCGCTACCTTGACCAAACTGCTGTGGGAAACCACGTCCCTGAGTGGAGTAAGAGTTCTTGCCACGAAAACTGCCTCGGTTCTGGCCTCTTCCACGACCTGAGTATCCTCCTCTAGCAGTGTAGAAGGCCTGATTTGGATTCGCCTCTGTTGCAGTGTAGAAAGCTTGGTGTTGATTAACTTCAGTAGGAGCTTCATACTTCTGTAGCTTATCATCAAAGTTGGTGAGTTTGTAGAGAACATCTTCAAAGCTGGGACTTGTTGGAAGGTCCATAGACTCCTCAATGACAGTGACAATAGACTCATACTCCCTACCAACACCAGACAAGACACCATAGATTTTCTCTTGTTCTGAGATAGGAGCACCTATTGAGTCTAGTTGATCACAAAGAGCTTTTATTTCTGACAAGTACTGAGCCAGAGACCTAGTTCCTTTTATTGTAGTCTGAATCTTCCTCTGAATATCGAGTTTTCTAGTGGCTGACACCCGATTAAATTTCTTAGCTAGGTAAAACCATACCTCCTGTGAAGATCTGAGACCATAGACGCTTTTGAGAGTATCTTCTCACAGAGATCCAAAAATCCACGCCATTATGAGTTGATCGGTCTGCATCCATTTGAGAAACTCTGGATTGTTGGCCTCTGTGACTTGTTCTCCATTTCTGACAACCACTGTGGGAGGAGGACGAGCCAAAGCACCGGTAACATAGCCCAGAAGCAACTGACTGTTGAGAAACTTCTCAAACTGAAGTTT